TCCTAATTTAAGTCATATACTAACATACCAAATCTCGTTTTTTTAACTAAAAATAAAAAAGTTATAGGGGTGAGCCACTTTTGAGACGCACCCGGAATATATATTTGTCGTAGGTATGAAAAAAGTATAAAATGTACAAACGCTTACTTACATTGCAATAAAACTACCACTTCTAGTTTTGCAATCCAAATGCAATATTTCTCTTTAACAAATAAAAATATCCGACAACACTAAAATCACTGAAACTTCCGCGGTTGACAACGAAACCTGAAAAAAATAGCAGCAATTCTTGTTTAAAACCTGCATATCAAAATTACGCTGTACCATTATGTTTTTGTTTTTGAAATAATATATATAATAAAATATTATAGAATGATTGTCTAATTACTAATTATAACTTGTGAATTTGGATATTTTTACTATCTCTGACAATAACGAACTTTTAGTTATCAAGATGACTTTTTAGACAGCAACTGACATATATGTCATAATATTTTAATTTTAAATGTATGTAATATAATTTAAATTAATAAACTGCAACTTTACACTAAGAAAACATTTATACATTCACAAAATACAGCAAAAATAATATAGTTCGAAAACAAAGAAAATTGAATTAAAATTAAAAAGTTAAGCGCGACCCCTTGTGTCAAAATTAGATGATTAAATTTTCGCAATTTTTACACCATTTGATGAACGGTGGCGCCTCTAGTTTTTGTTCGCACGGTTAGTATTTTACTCCCGTTTATGACCGTTTAAAGAGAAAAGTTCTAAAGAGGGATGTTTTGTGCATATAAGTTTCCAGGCAATGTCCATAAGTAACGTAACCTTTTATCATCCGTTGATTAATTATTGACAAGCAATACAGTTTTTTCACCAAAAAAGGAATAGACATGAAATAAAATTCAAGATATTTTTTTGGGTTCAAAATTAGGATTTCTTGCAATTTTCTAAGCAAGAACTTCCCCCTTGTTCACAAAACATCCCCCTTTATAACTTAATTTTTTTTATTTTTTAAAAACTTTTAAACATCCAACCTTTATAGCCAAACAAAACACTGTATATACCGATATTTATCGGTAATTCGTATTTGTTATATCTATAATTTAATGCATATTCAGTTATTCCTGTATAAAGTTTATAATTAAATTTAAATAAATTTATTTTTCATAGTGACGACTGGTCCTAAAAGGCACAGGGGCCATCTAATTTCATAAAATTTAATTGGAACAAGAAAGAAAACATCCAATTTTCTGTTACTGCATTTAATGGTGCGTCCAGAACTGAGGAGCCAAGCGCTAGACGAGAGCAAGAGAAGAGTGAGACAAGAGCGAGGCAAGAGAGAGACGAGAGCGAGACGAGAGCGAGATATTTTCTATTTATTTTTTGACGCAAACCTGCCACGAGACAAGCGAGTTGGATCATAGTGAAAGGTGACCGGTTTGTGTAAACATGTCTGATGAAAAACCTGCAGCAAATAATAAACACATAAGTAATAAATTTTTGTATCTTTAACATGATATTTGGTTCGTCGCATTTTATACATCGTCGATTTTTTTCCTTTTACGCTTCATTTGTTTCGAGACACGACGTCTATTACAAGATTCGTTTTTTAGAACAAAATATTAAATAGAAAAGTTATAGGAAAGGTTAAGAAGCACATTTGAAAATTACTGTAGAGTATACAGGGTACTTCAAAAAGTGTTACGGATATAATATACGAGTACTAAGGGCTGGCAAAGGTTAGTCTTGGGTCGAGATTTCCGTATGTAAGAAGAGTACAATGCGTTTATAATGTACTGAACAAAGAGAGGACAGTAAACACGTTGCCAAACATATGAAATAAACCGAGAAACTGTGCACATCGCTAAGAGACGTGGAAGGGGATATAGCAGATTTGTCGCAGTTGACCGGTCGACCCAATAATACCTCTGTCAGTACTTAAAGTTCTAGGGAAAGGTGTACGCCATGCGTTCAGCTTCACGATTTAATTACGTCTCGTGATACTTAATTTGTTCATTTATTAACGAATCGTTGTAATTTTCCCTATAGCTTGAATTTTTTTAAGTGCAAGCTAGAAACACTTGCATTTTTGGTAAAAATAAGTGGAATTGAGTGAGTGTTCGATAGTGGTCGCGCTATTAGAACTCTGAATTCAAAAATCGATATCTCGAAATCTATTAGAAATAATAGATTGTAGTTTTTTTAAAGAACTTTGTTAATATTTCTGCTGTATTTTCTTTGTAGACAGTATGTGAAAATCTTTATCAATAAAAAAATTACACAATTGCTCAAAATTGCTATGCTCTAAAAGTAAATGGATGGATCGTTTACAATTTTTGAATAGAAAAAACAACCTTATCGAATTTTTCTTATGTAAACATATTGTAAAATATCCGATCTTGAAAATAAAAAAAAGTTTCAATATCTAAAGTGGTTCTTGAGTTATGGCCTGTTATGTGTTAAAAAGTTGAATTTTTAAATTATCGCGATTACTGACGTTTTCTCGTTATAAAAAAAATGACACATTCACGATATCCTTATAATTCCATTTCAGATACTCAGAAACATGTCTAATGATTTTATCTAGTTCTCTTGAAAAAAAAATTCTTTTAAATATAAGCGGTTTGCGATCGTGATTTTATGTACTTTACTTGATAGGGAAAGGCGTATCGGCAACGCCGCAACAGCACACCGTCGCGCGTCGCGTCGGTCGGTCGCATTTCTCTCACTCCGACTTAATAAGATCCCTATGCGATTTACTTCCACACATGTAAATGCCGACCCAAAAGTAACAGTTGCCAGCACGGTATATGTTTTAATGGGAATACCCTATTTTTATTTTATTATTAGATTCTACGTACAATTCGGTAACTTATTTTGCATATCATATTATATATTATATAAGGTGCCCCGGTGGCGTAGAGGTACAGGCTCTCGTCTACCAATCTCAAGGTAGTGGGTTCGATTCCCACACCCGGCATTGCATCAGCCGATTTTTATTAAAATAAAAATAGTTTGGGTACCTAAGTCGACTCAGCTTTAAATGAGTACTTGGGATTCACAATCCTGAGGTAATAATAGGCGGTTGAAGCGTAGTGCTAGCCACATTACCTTCCTTGTATACCGAACGGCTCTAGTATGGCAAGCTGTACCTTGCTACTCCCAAGGCGTTAAACGCTATATACAGGAGCTATTATTATTATATATTATATGTATATCTAAAATAATAGATTTTGTAAGAATTCAATTTGTTTAAAGAAATGTTAGATTTCGGTACGGTAAAAAGTATCAGTGACGCAAAATTTGTAAATTCTATCAGAAAAAATGATAATACATACGGTGTACCATTTAAAAATTTGAGATTACTTAATTTTAAATAGTTGAAATTCATAAATCAGTCTAATATCTCGCAGTTGAGCGACCCTACAAAAAACACGTCCAGACTTAGCCGCGAGCTTTCTTTGATCGGCCTCGGCCGGCCGTCGAAAAACAAACAGGGGACAGATAGCAACGAGGCTCCGTGGGTTGTCTCGCGAGGCTCTCGCGAGACCCGTCGACACTTAGCAAATTTGGGATGTCTCGCGCTCGACTTCTCAGGTCTGGACGTACCATAACAATAATAAATAATAACACAACTACACAATAAAAGAAAAGTGGGGTATGCTTTTTACCAGACCATCATATCCTATAGTATTTTTCGACGCCTGAGCACGAATCCGCTATCAGAATTTTATTACTATCACATCTAATTTTTTTTGCTAACCTCAAAAGTAAAAAAAAATATTTCTTACATATAACACTATAGCCTAATGTAAATGGACATGATAAACTCAAAACACCCTTCAGAATTGAGCTAGCATGTCTCATATTTTTTCTAACCTCAAAAAACCTACCACAAGTCATGATTTTCGAAAATCGAACGGATCTTAACCAAATCCGGTATAGGTTTTTTTTGGATCGCTGATCATAAATCTGACATCGGATTCTCAAAATTCAAACTGGCGGATCCAATATGGCAGATGCAAATTTCCAAAATCGCACGTATCTTAACCAAAAGCGGCATAGGGTTTTTTTTGGATCGCTGATCATGAATCTGACATCGGATTCGCAACATTCAAAATGGCGGATCAAATATGGCCGACGCGAATTTAAAAAAACACGGATCCGAACAAAATCAGTATATGGGAGTTTTTTAGGTGGCTGATCGCGAATCTAAAGTCAAATGGGTCATTGATCGCGAATATGACGCGGGGCTGGCAAAATTCAAGATGGCGGATCCCATATGGGCGACCTCAAAAACGGTGTGAGTCCGATTCGAATCGGTCCTGCGCCCACAGGGTAGATATTCTTCAGCGACCTAAAAAAAACTCCCATATACTGATTTCGTTCGAATCCGTGGTTTTATTAAATTCGCGGCCATATTTGAACCGCCATTTTGAATTTTGCGAATCCGACGTCGGATTCACGATCAGCGACCCAGAAAAAACCTATGCCGGTTTTGGTTAAGATCCGTGCGATTTTGGAAATTCGCATCTGCCATATTGGATCCGCCATTTGAATTCTGCAAATCCGACGTCAGATTCATGATCAACGACCTAAAAAAAACCTATACCGGTTTTGGTTAAGATCCGTGCAATTCTCGAAAATCAATTGAATTTGAAGTTAGAAAAAATATGAGACATTTTAGCACAATTCTGAAGGGAGTTTTGGGTTTATCAGGTCCATTTACATTAGGTTATAGTGTTATACATAAGAAAAAAAATTGACTTTTTCCTACATTTTCCTAATTTTTTACGGATTTTTTGAGGTTAGAAAAAAATGAGATGTGATAGCGTAATTCTAATAGCGGATTCGTACTCAACGTCGAAAAATACTATATGATATGACGGTCTGATAAAAAGCATACCCCACTTTTCTTTTTTGTGTGGCTGTGTAATAGTTAAAATAGATAGAATCAGTGATTTATGCTATATTCAAATATAACAAATCTTAATTACCTCGGGTTATCTGACAATCTCAAGTAACATCTTACAACATGTTTGAGTAATCTAGCAGATGGTTCTTTTGCTAACGATATCACCATTTTGCCCTAAAAAAGTAATAAATATGAAATATGTGATCAGACAAATCATGCAATACAAATCAATAGTTTTATAACATTATATGCATAAATACAGAGTATTCCAAAAACATGTGCCACTCTTGTGGGAAAATTGTAAAATGTATAGGAGGGGGGGGGAGTAAATGACCGCGATCTTGCAGATCTATTGCATCCGTCCTTTCTTGAGTTATAACTCATCATAGTCTCAGGACTTTGACAAAAGTCAGTATCTGAGATGGTTTTACAGAGGATAGTTAGTTCCCCATCTCTGATATCAGTCGTACCAAAATTCATGGCACGGATAGTTGTCGACTCGGCGCATCAGTGATGAGGTGTTTTGGTGTTTCTCATTTTTTTAGCTTCCATTTACTGATGCTGGTCCAGTTAGTGGAGTGTTCGCTCCTTTTTCAACATAGATGTCTGCTTTTTCATTGCCTTCTATCCCTGGGTGGGCAGAGTAGGAGGACGTAGGAGGATTACATTTGCCTAATTTGTTCTGATTTGTGGGGATATCCTCACGTAAAAATAAGAGTTATTTTTTATATCAACATAGGTCCGATTCTGATTTGTTTCATAGCTACAAGGAGTTAAATCCTTTTTTTTTTGTATTATTATAATTGTCTTTTAAGTGCTTTTAGTGATTTGAATGAAATTTTGAAAGTTAAAGTTACTATAAGTCCATGGGTATTTCGCAGGGGAATTTTGGTGTACAACCTCTAGGAATTAGTGGGGAATTGGTAGGGAATTAAAGGAATTAGTGAAGAATTACTAGGGAATTAGAGGAATTAGTGAGGAATTAGTGGGGAATTAGAGGAATTTAGTGGGGAATTTGTTCGCTTATAGATGATAGTAACTGCATCGATACAAATACCTCATTGAAAAAATTACACAAAATCGATATCCAGAATGAGGATAATGTTCTATCCGAATGGAATAGAAAAAAATATCAAAGGTGTGAGAGGGAGAGACGAGCTAGAGAAAAATTGGTAGATGACCAAAGTTTAATCACGGATTACTTTTTCATCACTGAAAAAGTGAGCGAAATAGTCATTAAAAACAGTGAACTAGCGAAGAAACTTTTGGAGAATATAAGTGAATTAGAAACTGAACAAAAGACTGATATACCGCGACTTCTCAAAACATTGCAAGATGTATCACTCAATTCTACTTGCTCAAACAATCAAAATAGGTACGATGATGCTACAAAAAAATTCGCGGTGTATCTCTTTTATATTGGAGGCAGGTTACTTTACGAAACACTACAATCAAATTTGAAAAATAGCTTACTCTCAATTTCTACGCTAAATAGATTCGTGGACGCTAAAAACGACGCCCTAGGAAGGTGAATTTGATTTCAAAGGCCCCTCGTCTTTTAAGAGCTATGCGTTTAAATACTGATTTGGTATCTTCTTTAGCAGAAAGAAAAACATATTCCACACATAAGCTGCAGAGCCCCTATATTCTTCGTCAGATCCAGACTGGGAGTGGTATCAGTGTAGCATAGACAAAATGAAGAAAGCTATGTACAGGACACCACTCATATTTTAACAAAAATGCGTACGCGTTTTCTAAAACCGAAAATAAATCTACCGATTGGAAAATACACTGCCACCTCGGATAATTTCAGGGACGGATAATTGATCCTAAAGGTTTCAAAAGATAAACACCTTCTTACAGATTCTGATCTCAAAAATGAAGACAAGATGAATTTTGCCTCCGCAAAAAAAATGTGCAGTCTGATGGTAATTGCACAACTTAATAAGGAAATTCCACAAAGTAAAGGTAATGTGGCGTATCTTAAACTTATGAATTATTCCTCGATTCCAGCACTTTTCTTTACTAGAATCGGGAGAGCTTGAATTAAAGAAAAAAAAAGAATACAAAACATTAGAAAATTTTTTGACCAGTAATTGTTACCTTTGCACCGAGATGAACGCCCACGCTTTAATTAAACTGATACTGAAGATTAAAAACTCTGAGTTAAGACCAGAAATGTTAAGCATCGGCATTCTTGGTAGCCAAGTCTATGATTTTTAGCCAAGTCTATGAATCATCCATGACCTCTACTTATTCCACAGTAATCAATTTTAGTATAAAGGATATTTATGCTGAACCGAATTGAAAAAATTAGCACAATAAATAATACCATAAATTATCTAAGGGGAACTTTTGCATTTCCAAGAGAAAACAATAGATTGAAAAACAGACTGAAGGAAGAAAAATTACCACTGGAAAAAGAAGTCCCCAATTTGGATATCAAAACTACAATTGAAGAATGGTCGTAAAAGATATGAATCGTTTTGGAATCAATGCCAAGGAAAACGACTGGAAATATATGCAGATACCATTATTTACAAGACTGCAGAAAAAAGGTCAGGACAACGAAGATATTGACGAAGATGGTGTTGAACTTAACTAAAACTCCGAGGAAAATGAAATTGACCAAGATATAGCAAATTGTGTCAATAATAAAGATTGTATAATTATGGACAAGGTTGCGGACTTAATTTCTAACGAGATCCCTAATCGCGAATGTGATGATTCTTTGGAAACATGTTTCATAAGTTTAAAAGATTTTTCCCAAAAAAGTACATAGCATATCGGAAAAATCACCGTATATATAACTCACTCTTGGCAAGAAATCTTCGATTATTAAAAAGTCATCGTACTGCTGGCTTTTAGATCAGTCTAATGGTACAGCGAGTACTGACCGACTGAAAAGATTCATTGGAAATGCAAGCAAAACTTAGAAAAAACAGCTTCTAAGAAGTCCCAGTTGCCCTTGGCAATGAAAAAATCTAAACAGAAGTTACCCATGGATCAAGCTGATAGCACGAGCACAGACTCCTCTACTGATTCGGACGTGATGGAACTCGACGACTCCGATGATTCGGAAGAGTTTTCAGATAGAATGCTTCCCTCCAATTTATCGGAAACTGATGGGCTCTGATGGATATACATTTAGAAAACTATAACGCAGTTTTCTATGACCAGTCGTGGTTTATTGGTCGAATTATTGAAGATAGGAGAAATGCAAATTATAAATTCAGGTTTCTGAAAGCAGAGCTCGACAATTTAACGGTCGATTCTCACTATACCTTCCATATCAGCTTCCTTCCGTTTACATAAAATATTATATCATGTAAATGAATTGGACAATGCACACTATCCGTTCCGTTTCCCTTCCGTTCCATATCCTTTCCTTCCATACATTTTTTTGTCGGACGGACTGAAGCATATCGGAAACAGCGTTGTCAAGTTCTTACATTTGTACCAGCTCTGTTAAAATATTGCTGATATTTATTAATGTTTTCACCTCTTAATTAAATCTGCTACCTTTTTGAAAAGATACAAATTTTTAAAATAAAACTTTCGTAATGGTATAATTTGTATAATAAAAAGTATGGAACTGATACGGAACGGAAGCTTACGTATAGCGTCCATACAATAAAAAATACGGAACGGATATGGAATGGAAACGGAAGGTATAGTGAGAATCAACCTTTATTTGGCCCAAGAAGGAAGACACAGAGATAGTTCATAAAGAATTTATTCTTTACTGTCCTATTATGGTCCATTCCAGTTGAAGCGGACAGATCAAATAAATATCAGGAGAAGATATGAAGCATTTAAAAAACAATAGCCGTTTATTTTTGTTCGATAATACCAAAATATTCCACAAGAAATGTGTTCAATTTTTTAACTTTTTTATGTTTTTTGATAAAAAAATATGGTGTTTCTTTAGTTTTTTTTTAATTCAAAACCGAAGGTTATATCTACAGCAAACACTATAGACATTTGTTGAATAACTTACCATCATGTGTGGCCTAGTTTACGTAAGTTATTCGGAGAGGAAACTAGTGATAGTAGGGAAATTAGTTGGGAATTAGGGGAATTAGTTGGGAATTAGAGGAATTAATTGGGAATTAGGGGAAATAGTTGGGGAATTAGAGGAATTAGTTGGGAATTAGCGGGGAATTAGTATAAATTTTGGGAATTAGTGTATACATTTTATCCTGCGGTTTACGCCTCTCTATAAGTACTACATATTTATGCTAAAAAAGTGCCGACACTGGGGGGGTTATCGTGGGTTACCACTGTAATACTTCCCTAAAAAATTCATGTGCGCCACTGACCTTTATTCTCTTGTTAGCAAAATTGTGTATGTCGTATTAACTTTTATTAAAATTTGAAACCCTGATGTGCTAGCTACAGTCTGTCCAACGACAAGATCCTTGACAGTGATAGATGTGTCTGTCATTTTATTTTCAAATTAGTTTATTTTATTTTACAAAGAAATAAGTTGGTACAATTGGAACGCATAGCAGAAAATTAATATCTTTAAAATTTGACAAATGATTACTTCAAAATATTGTGAATGAAACTGTATAAAATTGAGAAAATCTAATCGAGTTACTTTATTAAAAACAATAATAATTACAGTATGTGTTAATACAAAAGAAGCAAGGGTGTATTTAAAAAAAACACACATACCAAAAAAGATTTCCGGCTTTCAAGCCGTGTTTCAAACTCAAGCAACTTCCTGCATTTATTGTTACATTTATCAATATAGGTAATTATTCAATATATGATTTATTATTTACCTATCGTGTGCTGCTATTTTACAGATACTCTAGTTTTTGCTATCATATACAAGATAGTATACAAACTTTATTTGTGGCTAATACATCTCTCTGGTCATAATCTCTGGCAAACTGTCTCTGACGGTCTCTAGGCACCGAATATTAACTGTAAACTATGGTCAGGGTCAACACTTAATTTTCCAGCGAGTTTTCCTCCACTTAATTTTAAAAAACACGAAACCCACGTAATAACACAGGCCAAAATGCAAAATGCAAAATATTTATCATTTCTATTTGACACAAAATTATAACCTATAAATTGGCAAGACTTTGACAACTCTCAAAAATCTTAAGACGAGTTCACACGCATCGGCGCGGCGTTCGTTTGTCGTTCATCGTTCCGTCAAACCAATAATATTGAAATATGATCTGCCATTTTTGAAATAAACCAATAAAACTGGTTAAAAACAACAAGAGATGACGCATGACGGATTTATGTATAAACCCATCCATAGTTAATTTAAAAAATATTAGAAACTTTTTTTAGTTAAATAAATGGATTGGTATGGACGTCATCTGCATTTTTTCTGTCATCGTCTGTCGAAATCTTACCTGAGAAAAAAAAAACAGAGTATATAGCAAAATTTAAAAAAAATAATGGTATTTAAGATAATTACAAAAGACCATTTTTTTAAGTTTTAACATCCTATAACTTTAAAACTTTCCGCACCCATGTTTATAAAAACCTTTTTCATATTTATTGATGAGAAATCAATGAGTACTTATTTAATACACTGAACAGTTAATGACATTAAAAAAAATTAAGGATTGCTATATTCTGTTTTTTTTTCTCAGGTAAGATTTTGACAGACGATGACAGACACACGATCGGTAAATAATAATCATATTGAATAATTATATTGATAAATGTAACAATAAATGCATTAACCATCTTTTCACAGCATTTTCTTCTGACCACCTACTTTACGCCATCTTAAAAGCACCACTTGAAAGTCAAAATGTTTTTTAGGTTAACTTAGAAGAAAACCACGCGTTCCCGAGATAAAAGGTCTTGATAGACAGACGGACGGACAGACAACAAACTGATTCTACAAGGGTTCCTTTTATTTCTTTTGAGATACAAGACCCTAAAAAGGATTTTTTAAGCATAAAGCGATCAATTCAATTCCAGTTAACAAAATTTTCCTTTCAGAATATCAATTTGTTAATATGTCCTCACATCGTTGAAGAAGTTGCTCGAGCTTGAAACACGGCTTGAAAGCAAGAAATCTTTTTATATCTTTTTTTGATATGTGGTTTTTTAAAATAAATCTTTGCTTGTTTTGTATTAACACATATTGTAATTGTTTTTAATAAAATAACTCGATTAGATTTTTTCAATTTTATACAGTTTTTTTCATAATACACTCACCGGCAAAAAAACGGGCCACTAAAAACTAGTCCCAATTTCGATGATTTTTTTTATATTGTAAATTAATTCCTTCTTAACGGATGCTACGTCAGAAATTTTTATTCGCGACCAAACCAATTCACATGTAAACGCGCAAACTGAAGACGTGCTCGACGATGTCTTGGAAGACCTGAGGTCCTCTGGCAGGCCTCCTTGCAGACAAGCTGTTTTCTTTTAATCTTCGTTGGATTGTTCTCTCACTGACTTGAGTTCTACGCACGGCTTGTAGCAGATGTTGATTCTGAAACGCTGTAATTCTACGATTTCGTAAAGTATTCAGGGCAATAAAGCGGTCGTCAATTGAATTTGTCTTCCGTTTTCTTACGGAACCCACTCGCCTGGTGAAATTTCCCCTTTCCATATACCGATTCCAAGCATCCTGGACTGTTGTTCGAGGTATGCCCAGGGTATCGGACACATAACGTTGACTTCGGCCATCCTCAATTAAAGCCACAATACGAGCAACATCCGTCACAGATAATTACATTTTTATTATTTGACAACTGTCGTTGTCATATTGCAAGTACTCATAAATCAGTTTTCGGCTATGTCGCCTTGATTATTTATACATAAAACTTTCTGCCTGCGCAGCATTTTTCCAAGACGTTCGTTTTAAAGCAGCGTATCTCCAATAAAAAGAGAGATAATGTCGTGATTAAAAAAACGAAATGCTCACAAAGGATGAGGCTACAATGTGATTTGATTTAGCAATAGCTACTACAGCTGCTGCACCCTACAGGGTGTTACAAAGTTCGGGCAAAAAACTTCGTCTTATTGTTGTGCCCTGTATATGCTCAAAATAAATTCGGAATAAGAATTTCTGAGGTAGCATCCGTTAAGAAGGAATTAATTTACAATTTTAAAAAAAAAAACATCAAAATCTAATGAGTGGTTTTAAATATATTAATTTTCTGCTATGCGTTACAATTGTACCAACTTATTTCTTTGTAAAATAAAATAAACTAATTTGGAAATAAAATGACACACATCTATCACTGTCAAGGATCTTATCGTTGGACAGACTATACTAAACAATTAATAAAATTGCATTTCTCTTATCAAAGGGACCAAAATCGACAAACTATCAAGAGACGACTTTTAATCAGCATTATATAACGGGCTACACAATTTTGCTAAGGAAAGAAAAAACAGTGGCGTAAAAATCCTTTTTCTGTAAATTCAATATTCTAGTGATAACCCGTATGCACGTCCCTGGTGAATCTGTCAACACTTTTTTAGCATTAAAATATGTAGCACTGATAGTAATTTTTAGCCGCAAAATTGAATTCAAATTACTAAAAGCATTTTGAAAAAAATTATAATAAAAAAAAATGAAGATCTTAAGTGAAGTACAAAACAAAATGTTAATAAATGTTATTTTTGCCTGAGGAATCTCCCCACAAGAGATGGCACATGTTTTTAGAAACACCCTGTATATGAATATGTCATAAATTCTTAACAAATTTTAATAAATCAGACTCATTTCATATATTCTTTAATTGTAAGACATGTATTTTTAAATAATATACAGGGCGGTCCGAACTGTATTCCAGAAACTTTGGCAGCATATTCTGCAGATAAAAATAAGTAAAAAAGTTCGTATAAATGTATGTCCTAAAATGCTTAGTTTCAGAGATACAGGGTGTAGAAGTTTCATTTTTATTTCGACTTTTCCAAATAATTTCTGCAGTAACGCCAATATTTGGATGAAAATTGGTGTCTGGGAGTTTTTTGACATGAGAAATTTGATTTTGATGTCAATATGACTCCTACTAGTAGAGGGTGCCATCTACATATTTCTAACTGGTTTGAAGAGTAAGTAACAATTTTCCGTCCATTACTTAAACTTTACGTCCGTACCTGTATAAAACTACTGAGTAAAAAAATATTCATTTACGATGTTTTTTACGTAAAAAATGTTTCTTGGTAAAAATCGCTACGAGTATTGATTTTCGAGATTTTTGCGATCAAAATTATCAATGCCTGTCATCATTGACATAAAATTAAACATGTTGACTAAATAGTTATTAGACTGAGATCATAAATTTGAAAGTTTTTTTGTCAAAAGTTCAACAGAAACTGTTATACCATCATTTTTTGCAGAAAAACTTAGAATTAATTTAAAAAAATAAACATTACCCAAATTTATTATTTCAGTGAAATAACTATCTGCTCAACGTGTTTATTTTTCGTCAATAATGACATGTATTGACTATTTCCATTCTAAATATTTTGAGAAGGGTTGCTCGTAACAATTTTCACAAAAAGATATTTTCTCGGTAGTTTTATACAGGTACAGACAAAAAGTTATTCGCTTCAAAACAGTTAAAACACATGTAGGTGGCGCCCTCTACCAGTAGGAGTCATGTTGACATCAAAATCAAATTTCTCATGTGAAAATACTTCTAGACACCAATTTTCATCCAAATATTGACATTGCTTAAGAACTTCTACACCCTGTATCTCTGAAACTAAGCATTTTAGGACATACATTGATACGAACTTTTTTACTTATTTTCATCAGTAGAATATGCTGTCGAAGTTTCCGGAATACAGTTCGGACCACCCTGTATAAAGTAAAAAATTACACAACACAAACATAAATAATACCTAGTTAAACTTCTTGACAAAAAAACCCTTACACATTGAATTAAAATAACTAGAGTCTGTTCAACGAGAGAAGGGACAATTTAGACCAACCATATTGAAAAAATAATAGATAAATAATTTCAACTTAAATTAAAATGATAGGCAACAACTGTCACTTTCATTATTTTCTTGGTTGGATAATGGTATTAATATATAATAACCAGACTAATCCAAAATACCTATTATATATTTTTCACAAAAATACTATAAAATAGATATTTATCCAAGTCACATATTACTAAAAATAAATTTTAGAGTACTTACTAATATCATAGCTACATGACTAAATCTGTCATAAGTCTGGCAAATATATGACAATCCACTTTCATCCAGCAATATTTTTTGTAAAATAAATGTTGCCACTGTTTTGCTCAATTCTGATCCGGTTTCCATGATTCTTAGACAAAGTGGTATAATTTCTGTCGTTAACAAAAAAGTTATAACTTCCTGTTCATCAGTCTGAAATGGGAATTGACAGTAGAACATGTCGTATGATAAAATAATGGCATCAAGTTGACTTGAAAATGACAATCAATGGCATTAGCTATACAGGGTGAGTTTTCTACAATGTTCTCTATGGATATCTTGGAAACTACTGAAGATAGAGAATTGGTTAAATGGGGAAAGAATTGCAGTTTTGTGGGGTCATAAATATGCACCTTTCAAATTTTCAAAAAAGTTCATGGCTTACTAGATATTTTGAAAAAAACAAATTTTGGATATTTTTATAAATGGTCCCTAATTCCATTACACATTTTAGACAAAAAATTTCAGATAAAAGTTGTAGATAATCACATTCTTAATGAGATTGTGTTCTCCACTTTTTTCTAGAGCCTGTAATTTTTGACATATGACACAAACTTATGTTTTTTAAAATGGAAAACATAGTTGGCCATGACTTCATAAAAAGCGCCATTCTTTAAGCTTTTCAGCGATATAAGCTAAAATATGGGGTTTTCCAAAAATCGTGGAAAACTCACCCTGTATAATTTTACATAAAAATTGCATAGCAATCTTCATTTTCAAGCCGATTTTTTGTAATAGTGTAGTTATATGTATATAATATCTAAGACAAACCTTAACAAGCGCTCCAATTACACCTAAACTAGTCAGTCTCAAATACTCAAAAGGTCGAGTTTTTGAGACTGTATGTAGAAAGGGGTAGAGAAATAATGGAATGTGAGCCATCAAAAATTGTGAACGAGTTTCTGGATGCGATGCTACACACTGAAGAAGAGCCAAAGCATTACAGACCCTAAAAAACAATATTAGAATTTAAACTTTCAACATGTAATATTACCTACATAAAAATATTAAACAATAAATGAAGACTATTTAACTAATGTTTTTACCTGTTTGACTGGTGAGCTGTGAGGGTTGGTGGATTAATTGCGGGATATATCAAGAGAATTTCTTGAAGCAAAGCCGCTATTGTACCAAAACTGTTCCATAACATTGGTGCTAAGTCAGGTACAATCTCTCGCTTTTTACTAATAAATAAAAACTTAAAGTAATAAATAGCTAGGTATATTATAGTGAATGTGGTACCTTAATTCAAGAAGTGCATTCTCTCTCGTCTCTGGACTGGTCAATTCTAAAATAAATTGATAAACTTTTTCCCTTTCAATTGAAGCACTAGCGGGACTTTGTTGGGTGCTCATGTCTAAAAATATTACCAAATAAAACCAAATACCGAAGTATATTTTTTGTGTATTCTATTGTTGGTGTAAATATGTCAAAAACGAGGGGTAAACCGCTGTCGAATTTCTGTACACTAATGCCAAAAAATACGAAAGTAATGCCAAATAATTTCGTACCAATACCAAAAATACCACGAATATGCTAAAAATACCAACATCTTGTACACCAAAATACAGCAGCGGTTTACCCCTCAGTCAAAAACGAATAAATACGTATTCCTTAAGTTTAAATGATAAAAATCAAAGCATTTACCATTAATCGTGTAAAACATAAATTTTTATAAAAGATACTGACGTAAATTATCACTACTTTAAATTAAAATATAATTAAAATATAAATTTTTGAAAAATTATGCTACCCTCCAAAGAAAAATTCAATGACATTATCTGACATTATTGACATTTGTCGTTTGACATTTTGAACCCTATTGACACCATAGATTAAATAGTATAATGTCTCGGCGGGGGGTGATGGTTATGAGCAGGGTTTGGAAGTAGTTAATTAAGACGTAATTTACCTGATTAACTACGTGTAGTTTTTCTTCAAAAACTACATCTTTTCCCGTTCATTAACTACATGAAAACTACGTTAATAAACTATGTATTGATATTATGAATAATTTTCCTTTGTATGAGGTGTAATAGTGATAATATGATGTAAATATTATATTTAAAGTCATATTTCTGTTTTCTTAAATACATTATGTGTTTTTAAAATTTCAACTTATTATAACCTAACCTCAAACCTTTGATATTTGAAAGTTACATACATAGGTTACGTAAACTACAACCTCTACATAAACTACATTAACTACATATAATGTAGATTATGTAGTTTTTAAAAGTAACATGTAGTTTTCCGAACCCTGGTTATGAGGTTCTCTATTGGGTTCTCTCAAATACGTTTAAATTCCCTATACCGCGGCCTCCCCATAAGAGCAATGAGAGAATTTATGTCCAGTATTGAAGGAGGACAGAAAATCGAGTCGAATGGTTTCATGACATAGGTTCATCCAATGACCTCTAAATAAAGTAGACCCGGCATTTCATTCATAAAAAGAAAAAGATCAGAATCAGACATTCGTTTCTTGTTCTATGCGAGTGGGAACAAGACGCGCTGATCGCAGTCATGAAGGATTCCCGAGAGAATGGCAACGCTGTTCAGAGATCTTGAGAATGTGTGCCAGGGGCGTAGTTACTTTGATTGTAATATATAATTTAATATTATATTCTCGTAAATATGATTTTTGGATACGATATATTGTTGTGCTAGATGGCTCTTCAAATTTTGAAAATGACTACTTCTATACTACAATCACTTCTATACGAAAATAACTAATTGAAATTATGATATGCACATTTCCATAGTAATGTCTGTAAATTGCTCCAGTAGAAATATAATCCATCAACCGTTCAATGAATACGAGCCGAAGACGACTTTTATAAAACATTTATGTGAATTAATGGTATTATTTTGATCGAAGCAACGGTGAAAAATGAGAATATTTTAAAACTGTCGTGACGAATTGCAATTTTATATTAGGTATAAAAATATTACTATTTAAAACAACAATAATAAAGCTCTTTGTTAAACAAAAGAAAATTTCTAAAATATTTACTTATTTCTGGATCAGTTTCTTCGCGGATAATCGGGACCTTGTACTGAATAAATAATTAACTATTCAATAAAACATATTGTTACGGATTCCGTGGGTCCACTAATTTAAACTCACGATAAAATACTTAACGAATTTATTTTCTCACTTTATACACAATTACTAACTTATAACAAACAACAAACTAACTATTTATAAGATTCCTTCACCAAATTGTCCGATTTTCAATTTCCACGCGGTATATTCAAATTTCAAAAAACTGTCTCAGTTGTCGATGGCTCCGGCTTATATACTCTATTGACTGCTTCTCGAAATTTCCCCAATTCTCGGAAAGCGTACTTCTTCATACCAGACAATTCTATTGTCTGATTCCCTTACTTTTCGACTTGACTAAAAGATGGCGCCTGAAAAAGTCTTTTAATTTCTGGCGGATACGTTGCGGTTGTGCAGGCAACCAGTAATACATTTTTAATTTCTGGCGGATGCGCCATTTTTCTTGACATTGCCCTTTCTCAAATTTGATCGTCCCGATCAAGGTTCCTGTCTGGTATCTCTTCAATCGATCCAGATGAACTACTTTCATCTTACTTCTAGGGCTGCGTTGAATCCGGTACACAACATCATTTATCCTCTTGATGACTGTATAAGGACCTTCCCATGCTGGAGTTAACTTTGGGGACCTCCCTTTCTTGCGCTGTGGGTTATATAACCATACCATATCGTCCTGTTGAAATCCCGTAGAATTGGCTCTGAGGTCGTAACGAGCTTTCATCCGGTCACTGGCTAGCGTAATCTTACTTCTTACGGCCTTATGAATTTCCATTAACCTTTCCTTCAGTTCATCCGCGTAGTCCTCTACATTTGTGGTGCCGTCGTCTGGTGATCCGAACACCAAGTCACAAGGCAACCGTAATTCTCGACCAAATAAAATCTTCGATGGTGAAAGTCCGGTGGTGTTGTGAACTGCACTTCTATACGCCATTAGGAACAGCGGTATGTGTTGATCCCAATCTCTTTGATGTTCGGCCACCATTTTCGAGAGGTGTTCTTCAATGGTCTTATTGAATCTTTCGACCATCCCATCAGACTGCGGATGTAAAGCTGTTGTCCTAGTCTTGTGAATACCAAGCAGATCACACATCTTCTGGAACAGTCTTGACTCGAAGTTCCTTCCTTGGTCAGTGTGAAGCTCTAAGGGAATTCCAAATCTACTGAAGACATTATGACTAATACTTCAGCTACAGTCGATGCTTCTTGGTTTGGAATGGCAAAAACTTCTGGCCATTTACTGAAATAATCCATCGCCACTAAAACGTACTTGTTGCCCTTGTGCGTTTCAGGGAATGGGCCTGCAATGTCAACAGCGATTCTTTCGAATGGCAGTCCAACGTTATATTGTTTCATTTTTCCCCTAGATCGAGTGCTTGGTCCTTGGCTGGCTGCACAAATTTTACATTGTCGACACCATTTCTTGACATCTTCGCAATAATCCACCCAGTAAAAGCGATCTCTCAGCTTGCTCAAGGTCTTGTTTACCCCAAGATGGGCTCCAGTTTTACCACCGTGAATTTCTTCCAATACCTGGGTAACTTTCTTCCTTGGTACCAGTAACTGAGTTGTTACTGTGCTGCCATCCGCACTTTCCCATGTGCGCTTTAACAATCCATTCTCAATAACCAGTGAATTCCACTGAGCCCAGAGAGCTTTGAAAACGAGCCCTCTGTCCGCAATATCCTGCCACGGTGGTCTCTCGCCGTTACCTTCCTTGAGCCGTAGTATTGCTCCGATGTCTGGATCTTCCATTTGATCTTTCCTCAATTGTGTCGTCGTCCACTGTTCATCGGTTCCAAGTTTAAAACTCCTTATCATGACAGTGCCTTCACGTTGTTCCGTTTTACAGCAGTGCTTACAATCGGTTTGACAGGGTCTTCTGGATAAACCGTCTGCGTTACCATGCATTTTTCCAGCACGATGTTGGATGGTAAAGTGATACTGTTGGAGCTTCTCGAGCCATCGTGCTATTTGACCTTCAGGTTGTTTCATCTCCATAAGCCACTTGAGAGCCGCATGATCTGTCCTAATTAAAAATTCTTGGCCGTACAGATATTTATGAAAATGATCAACTGCCTTCACAATTGCTAGCAGCTCCTTCCGGGTAACGCAGTAATTCCTTTCTGGTTTGGATAGAACTCGACTGTAATATTCTATCACTCGTTCTTCGCCATCTTGCACTTGTGATAGCACTGCACCTATGCCGATATTGCTGGCGTCGGTATCCAGGATATACCTCCCTTGTTGTTGCGGGTAGGCTAGAATAGGACTTGAACATAAAGCCGCCTTAAGTCTTCCAAAGGCTACATCACAATCGGTGTTCCATTCGTAGCCGACTTCATCACCTGTAAGTCTATGTAAGGGTGCAGCTATATTGGCAAATCCCTTGACAAATCTTCTGTAATAGGTGCATAAACCCAGAAAACTTCTAAGTTCATGTTTGTCGCGAGGTTTAGGCCAATCCTTGATTGCAGCGATTTTCTTCTCTGGTCAGTGTAAATTCCGTCTGCTGAGACTACATGGCCCAAAAATTCCACTTGTCGCTGGAATAAGCTACACTTCTTCGGGTTCAAGTACAGGTGAGCATTCCGTATGCGGCCGAAGACTTCTTCTAGATTTCGCAAATGCTCCTCAAAATTCTTCCCATAACCAATACATCGTCGAGGTAAACCAAGCACGTTTTCCAAGTTAATCCTCTTAACACCACCTCCATGAGACGTTCGAAAGTGGCTGGAGCATTGCATAATCCAAACGGCATGACCTTGAATTGGTATAGTCCGTTTCCTGTAGAAAAAGCCGTCTTTTCTTTGTCTTCCTCGTCCAGACCAACTTGCCAGTATCCACTCTTTAAGTCGAGAGTGGAGAACCAGCACGAACCTGCCAGTGTGGTTAACGTGTCGTCTATACGTGGCAGTGGGTAGCTGTCCTTCTTAGTGACGTCATTGAGCTTCCGATAGTCCACGCAGAATCGTGTACTACCATCTTTCTTCGTCACCAAAACAACAGGAGATGACCATGGACTCGATGATTCTTCGATAACTCCATCTTCTAGCATCTTATCTACCATTGTCTCCATTTCTTGTTGTTTGGAAAGGGGCACCCTTCTAGGACGTTGTCGAATCGGCTGAGCATGACCAGTATTAATCCGGTGCTTCACAAAATCCGTTCTTCCACTGTTGTTCTTCTCAAAAATACCGCCATGCTTTAGCAGGAACTGCTTGGCCTTCTGTTTCTCCTCAGGTGTTAGGTGATCCCATGGCTGTTCTAGATGTTTTAGTGTTTCTTGGGATGCCTTTTGTGTAACAGCTGACGACACTTCATCACATCGGGTGACACTTCTTACAGGTTCGCAGATGGCTATCTTGTCACCTTTTGAATCTTGACACAATTCGGGAAAACATTCGCAATTCTGATCGGTATATTCTTGTCAGTGTTCACCAACGACTTTCCTACTAAGTACCTATCTTTTTGTTGTCGCTACTTTGTACCAGTCCAACACAGCACCCAGCGATTTTCTCCACTTTACCGAATACGATTTTCTCGGTATTACCAGGTATCACCACAGTTTCCGCTGATCTTACATCCATTCTGCCTGGTCCCTCGTCTGGAGATAACATGAACTCTTCATTTCCAATATTTAAGATATTTCTCTGGTGATCGAACGAAAATCCATGTTGACGAATCACATCCATGCCCAAGATGAAGTCATCTTCAATATCTGCCACTAAG